AAAATGGGCCAAAAATCATTAAAAAATTTAAATCCATTCATTCTCCTTAAAAACAGATTATGAGATATGGACTTGGGTAGCAGATACAGGAGACAAGTTAAAATAAAAACTCATTGAACAAAAGGAAGTCAATGTGTTTCTATTAGAAATGCATATTTCCTTTCCCTTAAGTATTTATGAGACATTACAATCTTGAACTAGGGAAAAGTATATGAAAATCCTAAGTAAAATGTGGTTTTCACGTTATTTAGTAATTTTATTTATTTCATATTTATCTAAACTTCCATTACTTTAAATAATTGCCAGCTGAAGTGCATGAGGAAAAACTTGATGTGTAAGGAATTTTAATGTAAAAAAAGTCATTTCATTTCCCAAATTCCTTTTGGAAATGGAACTTTTCAAAGTTTCCATGAAAAAAAAAAAAGCAGCTCTAATGTTATTTTCTAACATAGTCGTGAAAAATGCCATCAATAATTAAACCAAAGTGTTATGGAATAATAAAGACCCCAGAAAAAATACTCACAAGTACAGTATGAGGAGTTAGGAGGAATACAACATACGCACCTATTTATTTTTTATTTAGTTTGATTAAATAAGTGAATTTCCAACAAAGAACTGGATGACGATATAAGAGTAACAAAACTTCTATCAGTCACTCATGACCTTAAGTCTAATCAATTGCCTCATGAAGCCTCATTATTGATGCAATGGGTGATGTGATCAAGAAAGGAGAAGCTGAAAATACAGAGAAAGACTTAAATATACAAAGGTCTATTTACTTACAGGCCATGTGGCATTTCTCAGCTCCCGCTATGTCTAGCTGGGAGATGAGGTGGAGCCAAGGAAATATTCCTGAACCAGGACACTGGAAGTGGCCAAAACTGTTCCCGACTGTGTCTTGGCCTTGAAGAAATGATACTGTCCATGCGTTTCAGTTTTCTCCTGAGTGGAAAAAATGTGAGCCCTTTACTCTGCACGACCTTGAAGATTGTTTCCAGAGCTAAATATCATCTGCTTTGCTAGAGAAGGAACCCAGCTTCTATCGACACCTTCACAAGAGCCTATAAACTGCCTAATGCCTCATCTCATGATAACAATTACATAAAAAAAATACAACAAAGATTCACATTCTCAGGTAAGAAAGATGTGTAGTCGTTTCAGGGAGAAAAAAGTGGGTTAACCTTTCAAATATATTTATAGAGCATGCAGACATGAGACTGTAATCTCTTCTGACAATATTAGCCCGCAGCCAGCCTCACTAATAATTCATCTTATGTTGAAACTCAAATGAGGTTGACCATACAAAATGACCCTGATGTTACTGCAGAGACATTTTAACCATAGGGATTTTGTTACACACTGGGCTGTGTCAGATAAGCTAATCTTCACGGAGCTGAAGGAAGCATACATCTCATGTGCTGTCTTTCTGTGGTCACTTCAAGATACAACTGGCGTCTTCAAGATACAATTGGCGTCTTCTTTCAATTGCCTACACAGAACGAGGTAAAGCTGTAAACAGCCAAGTCTGTGGAACTGAGGTTAGAATGTTAATAAACTCGAGTTTTAGTGTTACTCTAGACATTTCCTTGGAGTTTTTATAATTTTATGTAAGTTGAAGCCCTCCTGACCAGCTCCTGTGCTTTTTCTCTGTCCCGTCTGTGGGAAATTGTACTCCAGAAATTTCACAGACTAGAAATTAGCTGGCGTGGCATATCATCTATTATTGTAATCACTAATGCATATTTAGTGGGACGTTTTAAACTATTTTCAGAAGGCCAATATCGGGGACTGTGTAGTTAATGATTGACAAGGTAATTGAAACATGCAAGATGGCGTAGACAGGATATGGTAATAGAATTGGGGTAAAATACATAATTTCTACTTTGCGTAGCTTTTAATAAAATGTTTTTTTTAAACATGGAAGTATTAATGGCCTAAAACTCAGCCTCACTGTCTGTCAACTGCCCATGTATTGTGCTGTTATAACAGTAGAAACTGGACTATAATTTTTAAAATAAGAATATAATTTGCTTAGCTTTATTTCACTGGAGCATTAATGGTTGGTTTTAGTAAATGGCTCATATAAACAAATTTTTCTGAGATATTGGCCAAAGAATGAAGGCTAGGCATCAATTTTCAGGATGTATTTCTATATTTGCTATAAGGACACCACATGCAGTAAGTTGGACCTGTAGAAGTTGCTAATGGTGAAAGTTACTCATCAGTCCATTGTTTCTATATGGGACCATAAATAGGAGTGGTTGATCATATTAAAGACAATAAAATATTTTCAAACCTAATTGCCCAATAAAGACAGAGAAAAATTGTACAAGATACCAGGGCTAGTCCTGTAGTTATTTGGTAAAACAGGTGAAGCTTACTTTTGATAAATATGTTTCTTTTTATCTCACATGCTCTATCAAACAGCTTTTTTCCTAATATATAAGTAAATATATATTTATTTCATTCAATTCAAATGGTGGTAGTGGCCAAAATAGTGGCCCATTGATTCACAAATATTTGCAACCTATATAATAAATTAGCTGAGTGCCTATTCTCCATTCAGTGAATAAATGAAAGAGGTTTTCTTTCCCTCCCACAAAAATAGTAAGCTAAAAGTTATTTTGCCAAAGTTCCACATTTTGTATATAAAGGTATATGTTGGTCATGTGCACAGCAATTATTATCATCAGATGGGGACATAAAAAGCAAATCCCCGTCTGTAGTCTTCCAGTGAAATATGTAGTTCCTCCAGGCTTTCTCTGCTCTCAGAAAAGCCTTTATTTATTCTCTTGGGTTTCTTCATTACTTATCTCTTCCATCCTGATCTGGATACTTTAACCATCTTCATGTAAGTCTGGATGGAACCCAGTCAAGTTGTTGTCAAAGGAGCTTCGAGGATGTCTTTGGTTCAGAGTGATTCCTTCCTCACAATGAAAGAAAGTCACATGTACATTAAAGGTATAATACAATTTCTGAGGGGAGAAAAACGACCTGTAAAATGTAGAGGCATCTTCTTTAAAAACCCACATGCTGAAGTGAGCGGACGCCGTATCTATGACTATTCTGATCGCTCCAGTGGAATTGCTTTTACGAGGTCCCAGGAGACTGGTAAGTAGCTTTTCAGCTTTGGTTTTTGTAGAAGATTTGCTTGTCATTTCTATTACAGTGCACATTGCCTTATAGCAAGTATATTAGGTCAATAGAAATTCTACTGTCTGTTCATTTAGCAATTTTGACTTAGCAACAATTGTAAGTGTAGTTGGAGGAATATATTAGAATAAATCTCCAAACATTTGCCAGGAGATATTTTATAGCATTATTCTCATTATCTCATTCTGATGAGATTGGGTTCAAGACTTGGGAAGGAAACTTTTCACTCACATACTTTCTATGACAGTTTTCCAGAATGATCTGGCCTGAGATGATGCCTGGTCTTTGGTACCTCCTGTTATTGTCATTAGGAACGATCACCACTGCACGGTGTTCTTGAAGCAACTTCATGCAGGTATTGTGTCTCCCACCAAAATGACACAAGAGCAGACTCATCTAATTAGCAGAATCCCCTCTGGACTCGCTGTCTGTGCTTTCAGCACATTAATAAAGCTGAGACATGATCCAGGACCCCTGAGGGTCTGTCCCCATAAGTCCCTTGTAGAAACTTGTGGTCTCTAAGCAACAGCTCGACCGAGGGAGCCAGTGAGAGGCTTGCTCTGAATATGGCACCACCAGGAGCTGTGCTGAGTGGTCTCAGCAGGAGTTGCTCTGGTGTGTGTTACTACTGGCATTTCAAAAGCAAATGCCACGTGCTAATGAAATTCAGAGGTGTTTAACCCCGAAAGCTGGGATTTCAGGGAAGGCTGTCTCATCGTCAGGAACCAGTCATCGGCTCCACTGCTCTGTCAGCAGAATTTACAGTGCAGAGAGTCTGAGTAATTTTCTCTTTACCCCTGAAAGCTCAGGATAATTATTTTTCAGTCACATTAACTCTTATGGTTAAAATCTTGATGGGATTTTCGTACTTACCCGAGAGTCGGAGGCCTAGGTAGTTCTATCTGTGCACAGTTTTCAAGGAGGGACCCAGAACCATTTGTATTTAGCAGTATTTCACTGAATGAATTGTCAATCTGCGCTCAAACTATGAACAAGGATTTAAAAAATCAGAGAACAGGAAAACAGGAAACTTCTCAATGTTGATAGCTTAAAAAATTTTGATGTTACAAAAAAAATATCAGTTTTCCCAAGATATGAGCTTGGCTCACTCTTCGGTAAACCCACGTGGGAGTATCTGAGAGCTGCTTACTTAAACATGTGGCACCAGGCAATTCAAGCAGAACAATTTTTGTTTTTCCTCAAGTGAACCCCAAAATTAAGGGCAAAAAAATCTGGCCCTGGTTCGTGCTGACTGAAATTAGCCAAGCATTCTTCACTAAAGAATCACTAAAATCACTAAATCACCACTACCCTTTAAAACTTGTAGGTTTGTTATTAATGTCAGGGATGAACAAAAAGTACATTTGATCCATTTTCCCTTGTAATTCTAGCCATCCCATGTCCAGTAAAAGGAAAGTAAATTTCAACAAAGTGTGGTTACACAGTAAACTACAGGTCCAAATTGGCTTTCCAAGAAGAGTGTCTATGAAATCTTAAATAATTGATATCTGCAATCTTGGACCTGTTGTTCTTCTCCTGTCTACAAAATAGCTGAGTTCTTCTTAAGTGTACTTTTATCTTAAACTGTTTCTCATTAAGTATCCTTCCTTTTCTCAAGGCCCAATGGAAGCCCAATGGCACACAACTCAGAGGGCTGGCCAAGGGGAGACATGTGGTCACTAACAGGGACAGTTGGCTGGACAGACAGCATGGCAACGGGAAGAGGGACAGCCAGATTGGTTCTTTTGCTTCCAAAGTGTTGTTTCCCTTCTCACGTTTTCACTTAACGCTTGTCGAAGGAGCAGACTTGGCTACGTACTTTTACTAATAAGAAGTATTTTTTTATGGCACTATTTTTAAAATAGCTATTCAACATAACAATCTTAATTGTAATGCACCAAATTACAGTTTTCAACAATTTAAGTGAGCATATCCTGTCACCCTCAGCACACATTTGATATATACTCGTTAGATATAGATGGATATAGCAATATCCATATCTATATTTGTCAACACACGCGCGCGCGCACACACACCCCACACACTCACAGCAGAGCTGTAAGACTCTGCTTAATGGTGTGTAGTAAATTTTGTGTCCCCTTAATTGACATGGGGATTAGTTACATGGAGAGTTATGATACCGTTTATACAGCGTACTGGATTTGTCCCTGTCAAAATCTTCCAAGCCACAAGGCTATGGTGGGTCACCGTTATATCTCAGGTCAGATTTTGTCATCAGACAGGAGGACTGGTCTGTGAGGACAGGGGTAGAGGCCACCACCCAGGTACAACCCAGTGTGAACAGCTTCTCACAGTGCCCAGGCTTCTGCTACTGTCAGACCCAAAGGATTTTGTTTGAATAACTGTTCAAACGATTTGGATTCTATTTTTGTAAAACATAGATTCCCCCAAAGAAATTCAATAAATAAAGAACTTAGCCACGGAATCATGGAAGCAGAACTCCAGTTTTTAACCTTCCACTGGGATTGGGGCTAGACCTGCCCCATTTCAATTTTTACTGCAATTGGTCTTCCAGGAGCCAGAGGGCACAATGACCCTGCAAGCAGGTCTGGCACAGACTGTCTTTCCGGTCACAGTGGCTCTCTGTGTGTCATTGAATGAGGCTGGAGCTGTAGCTGAACCCATAGCTGCTTGACCGGGACAAGGTCTGCTGGGGCTCTTCACTCTGCTCCGAGGTGTAGCTGGGGAATGTCTGCGCACGAGACATCTTGGAGGAGCCAAACCCATGACCTGGAGAGAACAGAAGAAGGAAAAGGTGTGCCAAGAGTCAGCTTTGGAAAAGCAGGAAGATACTGTGAAACAAACAAACAAAGCTCAAGTCTTCAAATCCTCGATACTTAGCTCTAGGTAAATAAATGCAGGAATAGTGTTTGTGCTTCACTTTATTGCGTGTGTGTGTGTGTTTTCACAAGACCCTCCATCAGCAAAATCAAAATTTAATAATTTGTTGAAGGCTAAAATTATGGTTAACATTTTTTTAGCAATGAAGTATTTTAAAATTATGGTCTGTATAAAGTTTTTTGGAGATACTGCACACTTAATAGATTGCAGTATAGTGTAAACATAACTTTTATATGCACAAAAACACCTGGTGTGATTTGGGTGTATTACAGTGGGATGACCCCAAACTGCAATATCTCCAAGTAACCTGTAGGTAAATGTGAAGACTTTGGTGTCTTGCTCCTTCATGAGGTAAACATGTCATATTCAGGGCTCGACGTTTTCCTCAAGTATGTCTTGCCAAAATTCTGGATGCCAGAGAGCAAGGTAAAGTTTTCCAGATAAATCAAATTTCTAGTATCTTCCAATATTTACAACAAGTGCAGAAAAACTTTCCCAAAATAAAAATACGCTGTAGGGTAAAGAAAATGTCAGGCTTTTCTGCCCTTCCGCCATCAGGATAGATGATGGATCCTTGTCCTGAATGCATGCCTGATGGCGGGCACCTGGAATAGGGTGTGGGCATAGGTAGATGGGGTTCAGCTGAGCTAAGACTGTGCTTTTTAAGGGCGGCGTCACGGGGACGCCAGCAGCAGCAGTAGAAGCCGAAGCAGAAGCCGAGAAGCAGCAGAAAGAACGCCAGAGAGTCCAGATAGAGTGAAGACTTGCTGGGGGCTGGGAGGCCTGCCAGCCTCCCAGCCAGCACCCCTGCCTGCCATATGCCTGGTGAACCCCAACAAAGGACCTGCAAAACCACTAAGGACTCTGACTCCTCCTTTACCCGGTCTGCATGGGATCCGAAAACCTGCACTGTGTCCAGTCCTGCCCTTTACAACGCTGTTGGTGAAGAACCTGTAAGCTGCTTTCTTTTCTTGTATATTCATTTCCACTTACAAAAGCAAATCTTAACTCTGTCCCTTTTTAAGCAGGCAACCACACCATTATCTAACCAGAACCTATCCATTATCAAGAAAAAGCTCTGATGGTGAAGCATTGGCGGCCCTGGCTCACCTGAATGCACTTGTGAATCAGTGAACCCACATCATGAAATGGTGAAACGAAACCATAAATCTATGATTGCTGAATGGTTGACCGTAGAATCACCTATCAGATACACTTAAAGAAAATACATGCATGCTCAGTAGTTTGGAGGAACTCCTGAGATGAGCAGTTTGCCTAACATAACACACAGATGTGGCTACTGAATAGCTTGGCGGCGGAGTGCTGATAAAGTAGCGAGAAATGATGCATCGAAGGCTTCTGATGAGCTTTTCAGGGGCCTCCCCAGGCTTTTTCTTAACCAGTAATTAATTATCGTACATCCTTGAGAATGATAGGTGTCTAATAGATGAGCTTAGCGGGGAGAGAAAGAAAATAGATTTGCCCTTCCAAAGTGTCTGTTTCATCCAAAGGAAGAGATGTATCGAGTTTGACCAGTATTTTTCTGGACCTCACTGCGAGGAATGCAAGGAAGACAACCCTTTGAGACAGATACCTCATTGGGCTCTGCAGTTGCTCCTGTCCTTGCAAGGTCAAGCACTTAAAACCAGTTTCATTGTCAGGTGTGTTTGGTGACTTGGAAAATATCCTTGCAAGCCCGAGATCCAGGGAGAAAATGTAAATGAATTGGGTAATAAAAGGCTAATTAAGCTGGTAGAACCTCTAGATGTTAAAAAAGTCATCAGAGCAAAATCTTTCTTTCTAGATAAAACTCACTTCAGATTCACTGTTGACCTGAATCTCTTGCTGATTAAAACTCAACAGGAGCAGATCAGAGGAGACTTGGGGTCTTTCCTCTGTCCCATCCTCCACCCACCCCATGCTCTGGCAGCTCAGCTTCCATCTCAGCTTCCAGACTTTTCTGCTCCCTCCCTCTCTCGCCCAGCTCTCTCCTGAGCTCCATTTCACGTCTTCTCTTTACTCATGCAGACCCAAGGGTGGCCATGCTTCCTTCCTGCTCTTGTCCATCTGTCCCAAGTCCTCATTGGTTCTGTAACTTTACACACAGCTCTATCAGCCCATTAAAATCCCATAAAATCTTGGCTGAGTGTGGCTTCTTCCCGTTGGAGCCTGAGGATGCAATGTGGAAAAAGAAGCCGGGAACAGACTCCTGGAGAAGGTGGGAGGGAGCTCAGAGCCAAGACAGCAGACCCACAGCTGTCTCCGCTAGTTAGTAGGCGTGAGTGTCTGTGAGATGTAATTTGTCCCTGGGCTTCCTCTGTTTCCTTCTCTGCAAATTCTGGACCACGTGAACGGCATGATAGGGCTCATTTGAGTCTGCTTTCAATGAGCGTGAATTGAATTTGACCATGTCAAGTGCATTATAGTGAGACACAGATACGGGGCATCTCCCTGGAGTGGCCAGTGAAGATGTCCCTGAGGAGGTGGGGGACATAATGTTTTGACATAATGTTTACATAATGAGTAATCTGATATGGAAAAACGTACAATTCTAGCCATTTGGCCTTCTGATCTCACCGTTGACTTGCAAGGGGATGATTCACACTTCCTGTAAGTGGCATTTCTGAGCGCAAACCAGCAGCAAATGCTAATATTAAGACTATGTTCCTGGTGTTGGTTTTATCCTGTTACTTTAAAAACTTCTAGAACTACCTGAACGAAGACAACATGGAGAAATACCTGTAAAGTGCACTGAGTGGGGGCTGAAAGCTAAGCCTTAAGTTGCTGTAGGGGAAGGTAAAAGTATCAGGCTTTTCTGCGCTCCCGCCATCAGGATAGAGGAGGGAACCCTGTGGTCCTGAATGCATGCCTGATGGCGGCACCTGCAGTGGGCGCACCTGGGCTGAGAGACTGAGTTTATAAGGGCAGCATCACGGGGATGCCAGCAGAAGCCGAGAGAGAAGCAGAGCCATGAGAAGAGCAGAGAGAACGTGACAGAAGGCCGGAGAGCCCAGAGTGAAGACTTGTTGGGGGCTGGGAGGCCCAGCACCCCTGCCTGCCGTGTACCTGGTAAATCCCAATAAAAGCCTGAAAAGCCACTGAGGGCGCCAGGACTCCTCCTTCACCCGGTCTGCTGGATCAGAAAACCTACCCTGTGTCAGTCCTGCCCCTACAGTTGCCCATTCAGAAGAGTCTGCTTTTGGACATGGACTCGGCTCTTGAATCTTGGGTTTAAATGGTTCAGCATGAAGCAAATATTTGCAAAATGCAGGCTAAGATGTCCAGGCCGCCGCAGGGCAGCCGGAGGGAAGGAAAGCCTGGCCTCTTGGGGAGGGTCCACGGCGCAGGGCTCCGCAGGGTTGGAACACGTAACTGTGGCCGGCACAGCCGTGTCCCTGCCACCACCACCACGGTGGGCTTCAGCATCAGACAGGCCTGAGATGTTGCACATTTCGTGCCTCAGTGTTCTGCGCGGGGAAAACACACCTTCCCAGGTGCTGGAGGGCTGAGTGAGGCGGACGGGGGAACACAGGTAGGGTCGGCATCCCAGCAAGGTTCACTCTTGCCCTGTCTGCTGCCAGCGGCCACGTCCACTTTTCTGCCTCCCCCCGCAGGCCGCCCCTCCCATGACAGGCTCAAAAACATCTCCTTCAAGGTCAGCACCGTTCTCTTCACCACCCTGCAGGCAAAGTCTAGTCAAATTGGAATTTAAATGACTTCTCTTGCCTCAACCATTTCTTTACAGCAGTTCACAAAGGATGCTACTTAATACTGCTCACAAAAATACCATGACCTCTCTCAGAACTGGACACAGGAAGGCGGAGTAAGTGCTGTTTGATTTTGGCAACAGTGAGTGTGAGAACAAAAGAGAGAAATAATTAAGCATTTTCTCAACATTCGTTTGAATTCTGCCCCCAGGCACTGTTGACAAAACAAAACAAAACAAAATTCAACTTTGTGGCTTAAATGAAAAAACTGGCTGGAACAGAACCACCCACACTACTAAATAGAGATGATTTAAATGTTTTCTAGACTCTCCCTGCAGCTCACCCCCTAAAGACAGGCCCAGTGAGTATGTCTGGGGTCCCAGGGAAACTTCCATTTTAAATCAGTGTATTTACTAATGGATACTTGTTTGTCTTAAAAGTTCTTTTGAATTTTGCTTTCAACTCCATTGTACATTCATATTTATTTTAATTGAAAATGATATCTTGCACTCCTTTTGTTCAGGTAACACTGACCCTGGGGAAAAAGCATTTCAGAGACACCTGTAGGTCTGAGATAATCTGAGCTGACTCTCCAGACAAGCCCCAGGCCCTGTCCCCCTGGTATGAGTGCAGGCCCCACACTGAAGAACAGTTCCATTCCATAAAGAAAGAAATGTGTTAGATAGCGAGACAGTCAACACATTCCTTTTATTGTAACATCATCATATGATTCCTCTCAACTCTGCAAACTTAACTATTATCACCTGGAAACACAGGTAAATTCTCCAGAGCTGTAAAGGGAAATTTCCCTGCAGCCTCATAAAAGGTCCAACCAGTTACCAACCTGGAGGAACACAAACACAGCAGAAAAGAACAGCCACGGTGGAGGGCGAGAGCAGAGGTTAGCACCACACCTGGGAGAAACCTGGGGAAAGACAGCACCTGAGGAACAGAGTGTGTCCTCACTTCACATCCTTAGCAGGTCCTTGGGAAGCCTAAGTGAAATGACTCGTAACAAAACCACTTTTACCATAGCTTTCCTCACAATAGATAAGAAATAAGTTTAGGATATTACGAGCCATGTAAACTTCTACGTAATGGCCAAACAATTCTAATAGGCAACAGCCAATTGTATCCATCATTCATCCATCCATCCTTTCACTCATCCATCCATCCATTCAT